ATAGATAGATAGATAGATAGATAGATAGATAGATAGATAGATAGATAGATAGATAGATAGATAGATAGATAGATAGATAGATAGATAGATAGATAGAGACGCAGCTTTACCATTTGCCCTGATATTACATGTTACTAGACTCAACGTGGCCAATAGACGTGATTCAGACTTTTACAATAGAAACAGATCTATAAACTCTTGGAGATACATGATCTAGTCATGGTCTACTTGGGTCAGCCATTCTGAAATAGGCTACAAACATCTTTTTCGAATACACCATGGCGACCCATTAGTCACCCCACAGAGAGTGAAAAGCTGGACGTGCTTAATAATATAGTAGGTCAGGTGACATTCCGATTGGAGGGTTCAAGAAGACCTTTAACCATGATATTATATCTCTGAGAATCAAGAACATACACTAGGGCTTTGTTGTGCTCGATATGAGCTCTTGTTGATTCAAACATGTTACAGCGTGATTCTTATAATTTGTTATTGGTGTACGTTTCAGAATAAAACAAAGAGAAAAGTATTGTCAAGATAATTCGTAAATAACTTTCCTCTTGGAAAGAATATATGAAAGCCGTTTGTCATTAAAACGTATTATCACATCGATACGTGTTAGATAATTTAGGTAAACGATTGCTTCTTTGAATTTTTTTTCCGGGGACGGAAAAGCAGGGTACACCTTGTACTCGTACAAAGTATATGTATCCTTGAGTCCTTTCTTTTAAATAATGGATTATCTGCTTTTTAAAAATGTAGGTTTTTTAACGCCACACAATTTAAATCATTTAAGGGACGGGTTTCCGACCCTGCCTGTCAGGGCCAACCCGGGCTGAGAGGGATGCAACATCCCAGCACAAAGACCCAGATACTCAATTAAAATTCTCCTCTCTCATGAATCAAACTCTGGTCTCCTGCTAGCGACAGCAAAGCGCCATTACCGCTTCATCACAGCCACTGGTGTTACTGGTTTCTTTGTTTGGGACTTTATATTGGCACCAAGAGCTCACAAAATACTTTGGTAGACCTATATTGTCAGGAACTTCAGCTCTGGGACATTGTACATACCTCACTACACAATGCATTACGTGCATAACTGTGACAGAATAAAACAACATACATAAGGAGAAAACAAACAACCCTTTATTTTGTATGAGATAAATAAAGTTAAAAAGAAAACACATAGGTCACAATAAATAGGTATCGCTTCTAGCGGAGATACCTATCCTATCAGATTAACTTAATGAAACAAACCCTGAGAATGAACGTTGCTAGAAAAATATAGATTTATGATTAATATCTTTGGTTCATTCGTATACATTAGTTGTTCTAAATTTATATATACAGCATTTGTCGATGAAACATGGCCTCGAACTGCTTCCATGGTGACAAGAACATATCTGAAAAGACCAGATTGTACACATCTCCTGAGTCATATATTGACACGCTGGAATGTATATGGAGGGAAGAGAGAAAACAGGTATTGCTTACATTAGAGCATACGCCAAATAAGGGGGAACTTTGACATCTCAATGGTGCACGAGCTTGCTTCTGTTAAATATGTTGGGTTGTACATAAAAGCTTACGGTCACGGCTTTACGAACCCATCTCAACACTGTTAAATAAGTTTAGGGGCCCACACTTCGAATTCAACTTCCATTTCAAACTAGACCAAGCCAAGTGGGCAGAGCCTTAAAAACTTTTTAAGCACCTTAGGCAGGCCCTCCGTAGGATTTGAATGAAAAGTTTATAGTGACACAGCATGCACAAGTTGTATCTTACAGCGCTCCTTTAGTAGTGCAGGAAGCAATAAAGTAATATAGGTTGCTCACATCGTTACTTATAACAATTACGAGTTCTGAGATTATGCAATTTGTCCAAGAAGTGGTATACCATACTCAAAATAGTGTAGTCTCATAAGGCTGTTATAATTTAAATAACGAAATAAGCTATTAAAAAAAAGATTTTCCATTCACGTATCTATACAATAAGATGTTTCTATGATTGCCCTGAGTGGTAACAAGGGGAGGCAATATAATATACTCATTATCATAATGTTATAGGGGGGCCATGCTTTGGTATAATGGATTCATGGGAATCTCCATTACAACATAAGGCAATGACAAATAAGTACGATCCGAAACGAGTCTTACATGACCTATAAACATACGCACACTCACACACACACACATACACACACAAACACACACATAAACACGCACACACACACACACACACACACACACACACACACACACACACACACACACTTAAACACGCAGCAACAATAAGAACAACAATAAAAATAACAAAACAACAACAACGACAACACAACAGAAACAATGATTTTGTACTTGTGTTTTCATTGTAGTTGCTGTTGCGTGTGGCTGCTGTTGTTTCTAAAGTTGTTCAGAATGCTTTTCGAGCTGTCACATTGTGATTTCCTTTGTTTTCTGGCACTCAGAATGATAATGGCAACATTTTGTTAAGAATGGAACCAGAATAAGTCAATTGAAATTGCGGTAGAGGTAAAGGATGCAGCCCACAAACAATCCTTTGAATAAAAAAAAGTATAACGTTTACAGATAAATAAATAATATTTTTATAAGAATGCATTTGACAGTCACAAGTTGTTCGTTACACATTGCAACATTGGGATGAGAGCACCGCAGACGCTTTAGCTATGTTGTGTTTAACCACTATAAAAAGAATCTTTTTTATAAATTGGATTCATTTACTTGACTGATTCCCCAACGAAGTACTCCGGGTTGGCCGTGAATGGCTCGCCGAAACCGATAGCTGGTGGGTAACTGCATCTCTCAAGGTCACAGCTTGGAATACTTTTGTCCCAGGAGCCATCCCTTTGACAAACGATTGAGTTGTGATCTGTCTGCAGGGTGCTGCCTGGAACAAAAATACGTAACGTTCTCTTAAAAGATAAACTCTGTTTAGTGACGTACACGTATTGCTGATATTCAAAACACACACACACACACACACACACAC